ATATACTTAAACCGTTGTGTAATAATCTGAAGTTATCGGTGTTTTCTTAAATGTCATTAAATGGCATTAACATTTAAGGATTTATTTTACATTTCATGTAGATTCGTAGGGTTGAAATTAAACCTGATTAAAATCAAACAATAAATTCCTGGATTTTTAGTAGAGATCATAATGATGAGGGCCACCTATGAAGTATCATTCTTTTGTCAGTCAACAATTTCTGGTGGAAACTGTTTATATGAAATCGCAGGCCTCTCCATGGGTGCTTTGGGAATTGTGAATGCAACTTAATGATGCTGTAAATGTTCATAACCACTACAATGACGACATAATTTCTCATTAAGATCTCTTTCAGAGGCTGTCTGTATCAAAGTTATTACCTTATGACTGTAGATAATAATTAGATTTTAAAACGTTTGAATCTAGACGTTATTTCACTATTTCACAGTAATTTGCTACACCTTTTATTGTCTGCGAGAGCTTAGTGAGTTATACGCATGTTAGTTACTAGTTTTTGACAGTACATTCAGATTTCAACATACATCTTAGATGTCTTAGTTGCATGATACCAAAACAATCTTAGCACTGCACCAGCCGTGAAAGTTAAAAAAATCCTTCGTTTGAAATCAAAGGGAAAAAAGCTAATACTCGCTCCTCAAATAATAACTATGCCTAAAACGATGCACTAAGTATAAAACTCAAATTCATATATTTCCATTCATTACTTACATGTGATGTTGAGTGCAAAGAAATAGCTGAAATAGTCAAGCATTTTGAAGTAATAAAATATTTAATGGCGGGTTGAATACTTGTTCATGTATGTGAAAAATCGATAGTTCCAAGTCATAATGTCGAGGATTAATCTCTAAGTAGGAAATATCAAAGATATTTAACAGCGTCTAATTCAAGGTCAGAGAACTGATAAAAAAATGAGAAATTTCGAAATTGGTTTTTGAAAACTTAAAAAAAACCACTATTTTCCAGGTAGATAATTCTCTTTCACATTATTAAAAAAAAATAGGTGGAAAATCAAAAACCTATATATTTATACAAAGTAACAGATCTTATTCAGATTTCAAAAACCCATTAAAACTTGTGTCTCAGGGGTATCTACTTAAGGTTCCGTTTTAGAAAGCAAATTCTAAAATTTTCGGTAATACGTCTGGAATACAATGATGGTATCTTCGAGACAGCCTCTCTTGTTGCCAGTGGAGCTGGCATGGACGATATCATAGTACAGATTTGAATTCTATTGGAATTGAAGAATAGTAGATTATTACGGTCCATTTTGAAAGTTTTGCAATCGCTTTGTTATTTGAAGCCCACATGGTGCAGACACGTGCAGACGTAAAACTCCATTCATTTCATTTCATTTCATTTTGTTCTTTGAAGGATATTTGCTTAAAGAATTCACTTTGCACATTTGATGTTCTTGAATAAAATCAAATTATGCCTCTAGGCCTACATTATGTTTTCTGATATGAAATTATAAATCTCTCAAAATTCGTGGTAAGTCCCTAAAGTTGTAGGAGACGTTTCATATCGTGCAATAACTTAGGATAATGACCCAAGGCTTGATTTTTCTGCTTTTTAAAAATTAAAACCATTGTTAACAAATCCCAGGGATGATCATAATGTGGAATTCTCTGAGCAATCAGACCCTGGTCTCTGGAAATTATTCCACTAAAAATATTTAATTAGATTGCAAGAAGGAGTGATAGAAGTTGATTAATTAGTACTGACAGTTACCTGAAATCAATACTTACTTCTATACTAGTTGACTACTAATACTATTCTACAATATGTTACCATTGTTTTACTATTATAGACTATATTCTATGTTTCACTTTGATAATTAACTCAGATGCAATCTTGTGGTAAAATGAGAGTAATTATTATAATTCACACGTGTCATGTTATAATAATCAGTATGAAATGAGGATATATTATGATAGTGTATGGCAAATTTGAAGCCTGGAATTTTAAGGGTAGGCTATTATATAACATGTACTTGTATATTTAATTGCAAAAAAACGATGTACTTAGAAATTCGGATGATAAAACCTAAAAAGCATGATTTAGGTTATATAGTGGATACATTCAACGGCTGTTAAATTAGTAATATATGTCAAATTAAGGCTGCATATAGCTTAGAAATTCAAAATGCGAATTATCTACACCATATACAATTGGTCAACGGAAGCGTTGCAATGGTAATCAGAAATATACAAAACGTACTGTCTTATATACTTATCACATATCAGACATCACTTTGGAATTTGTAATAAGAAGACTGACTGAAATATTGTCATTTGTAACTGTTAATGTTCTATGTCTGTGTGGCACTAAAAACAAAACAAAAACTCTTTACCATCACTTTAATTTGTGAAATCATTAATTACTACTCCAGCTTAGTTTGTTGTCTGGCTAATATTGATTATTTCTCTTTTTCCAAGTTGGAATTCCTCCGCTCTTCCCTGATTTATAATATCTACTGGCAATATGGTGTTTTATTCAGGTCAATAACAAAACCATTGTCTTCCAATATACACTTATCTAGTTAGATCTATTGGTCTCGGACAATCCGTGCCTTTGGTGGAATTTCAGTTCTTTAACTCTGGATATTGAAACATTATTATATTATTACAGGAATGTATCTAGGAAGACTATGGCATTAACAGTTGATTAACAATACTGAAAGAAATTTGAGTGAAAGCCCATCAAGGTTTGTATCATTTGTACCTTCTTTGCCATTTGACCATTATTTACCTGATGATAACAGTGTGAATTGTAGAAACTGTGTACAATAGAACTAAGGTTGATATTTAGAGAGTGTTCCCGCATGGACGGACAGGATGTATGTTAATAACTCTGATACATGTTGTAACATACTAACAATATCTATCATAGCTTTGTTCGGAAACAATCTGTAATAATCTTGGAATTATTAAAATGTAAAGTAATTTGTTTTAAATTATAAAAATATTCTAACCAAGCGTTATCGTTATTATCATCTCCAATTATCTGGATTGATTATACAATCCGGATATGATATCAATGTTATTGTATACTTCGTCACGAACATATTTTCTGTCTTTTCGAGGCCGCGTTCATATGCCCAATCAGCTGCAGAAAAGTATGATATAAAATTCTGTATTTAATTCAATCATTATGTTTCAGAGGAAAAACGTAACTCGATCTATTTTTATGTTTGTAGATGATGTCTGAATTTGAACTCACTCCATTACGGGATGATGAACAGGAAGCCTCTAATTACGGTTCAAAGGTCAACAATATTGGTGGAGAACAACCAAACCGAGATGGTCACCGAAAGAGAAACGAACTGCGCATGTTTTCTACTAGAATTATCATGAAAAGAAGGCACCAGTTTTGTCGAGCGTTACTCATATTTTTAGTTCTTTCACTAGTAGCTATCATATGTTTGTTACTAGCTTTTTATCTCAACGAAACCAAGAAACGAAAACACGAAAATACAAATTTATTAACGACTCATGTTAACGTCAGACCTATATTGCCAAAGGGAGCTATTTATGTTCGTAGCTTCAAATCCTATCTTAACACCATGGACAATCGAATATTTGAAGCTTTATTTAGCAATGATACATCTCTTAAACTCTACGGAAATAAAGGATTGAATTCTGATAAGTTTAAAATTGACTCATTATCAGTAACTCATTCTAATCAAGGAGAAATTCGTATTAGATTTGGTAGACAGAATAATTTAGCCTATGTAATGTTAGGAAATAGAGCTCAAGTAGACTATGAGTGGTCAAGGGATTTGACCAGTTTTGATATTAAGGTGTATTTATCAACGACTTTAAAGGGTTTTGATGCCACGTCATTTCTGTTTACAGTTAGACTGATGGAACATGCCACCTTGTTTCAAATTATCTTTAAAACTTTGTGTGGAAAGAGACCGGAAGTAGTTTTCCCATCCAATCTGAAAAAACGTCGTTGTGCATCATACTTTCCTCTCAGAGTCACAAAATGTGGAAGCAAAAACGTATACAATGGTGTCTTCCTGGAAGGGAAAATCAATTTAGGAAATTCACATGTATTACTTCCTGCTCAAGAATGGCCTCTAGATTCAGCTGAATGTTTTAAACAACCAGAAGACGAGAATTCTAAATACAACTTCTACATTCCACTTCCTACCAGTGTCACAGACGATTCGTCGTGCAATATGGCCACCAAATATTTTATAACCGTTTGTGCTGTGATTCCCGTCAAACTGTCAGCCGAGAAGATCTGTATAAATATTTCCCAGCAGATCAACTCGAGTGGGGAAAGAAAGTTTGATGAGTTAGTCAATCTAGTGTATGATAGTTGTCTGAATATTTTATCATCTTTATTATTAATGTGTTCGTCTTTACAAACAGAATATAAACCTCTCAGTAAATCACATTCGCCATTTTTTCTTTTGTCAGACAGAACAGTGAGAAATAAACTATGTAGTAATTCCAAAGTGTCAGACAGTCTTATTCCAGACTCTGTAAAAGTGAGTGTCGTGGCTTTCTGTCCCACCGAACACCCAAAAATATCTCCAGAACAGTTGGTATATGTTAATCAATCTGTGTCAGCTGGGAACAACATTCACATCAATTGCCGTGGACCTCCAGAGATTACATTATACCAACTAGCCCACTCTTACACGGGCTCCGGCGAACATCTTACAACTTTAAATCATAATTTTAGAATGTGTTCAAAATGTGCTTATGAAGCGGTTGTGACTGTACGTGTTTTAGACAATGAGGTGTGTTGTGAGAATATATGCAGTAGAGACAATACCAGTGTCTGTGCTCTAGGACGACTGGAATTAGAAGAAACTTATCAATTTATCACACATAGTAATCTATATTGTCACAATTTCCTGGACAATATGGCATCCGACACTGCCTCTTTAAATATACACTGTGCTGGCAAATGTGTCAACCATTTTACTGTAGATTTTAAGGTGACCAATTTTCGTGAACAGGAAATATTTTACCACCAACCTCTGTTTTGTACTGGAACAAGCTCGCAAACATGTAATTCTAAATTTGGATCTTAGAATTGCAGCAATATTTTCTTTTAATAATTTGTATTTTTAAGAAATTAATACATATTTAACAATTCCTTTCTTTAAAATTGTCAAAATATTCGCTTTATATATTGTGAATGGTAAATAAATCATTTTTTATATAAATTGTATTTATTTTTTTTTGGCAAAACGGATTTCAGCTATTTTTAAGACTCGACAATTGAAATAGATTTACAGATACAACATCCTCGTGACTATTAAACGGTTGAAATTTTGTTGAATCAATTTAATTAACTGTGGTTCAGTTTTAACTTGACATTCTCTCCCTTGACGCATTAAAGGGAAATAACTTATGGATTGGTAATTCAAGAATGGATGACATTCCCATTCCTATTCAGTATTTTCTAAGATAGAAATAGATAGATACTCTTAAAGAAAAGCCAAATAAACAGAACGCTTCTTTAAATTACACTTAAGTTATACAAATAAATTCCAAGACCCCAACTAACGTTTAACTTAAAATCCAATCTTAATAACTATAATGGTCCTTTCTGCTACCAGAATTGAAATAAATATTGGTCAGAATTACCTAGCAGTGAAATCTAAAATTATGGCCGTAAAAGTTCTGTTAGAAAAATGTTTTTGCAATTGCATTTCTTGATTAAGACAGTTGATGGAAATTGAGTAACCAGGTCAAAGTCTAAAAACCATTTTGATTTTGAATGAGTATAAATCTTCATGGTGGGGATGTTTGAAGGTCAGAGACAATATTATTACTTCTATGACTGAACATGAGACCAGTTTTAATTAAAAAAACTAAACCTACCTTATTGCAAACCACAAGTCAGTTGAAAAATAACAGAAACCTAAATGGTTGATGCAAAACAACTAATGTTAGTTCTTGAACTCTGAAACAAGGATCTATCTAAATTCAGTTTTTGTGAAATTGGAACCTGTGTGTAGGGTAGGATATTTATTCTCTGCACATTTCTACAATCTTGTCCAATCACTAGATTCTGAAGTAATTTTTGAAAACAGGTTACTGCGGGAAACAAACAGAAACAACAGACAATGGATGAAGATACTGTTCTGGTCCAACAGCTCAAGATTCAGCTTCCAAGAGGTAAAACCTTTTTTTTGTGTATTTATGGATGAAATTATGTGATTTAGTACCATATTGAATTAGTTATTAATAATATTTATAGTAGGTTATGTATGTTATAAGTGTGATTATGCTTTGAGTGAAAAATTTTACTTGTGTCATAAAAAATAACTTTGCACTTTCATCCACTGGTTAAGATTTGAATTCATAAACCTATTTTTCACCCTTCATACAGATGATAAGCTGATGAAATGAGCTCTTGTCAATTAGATTCTGAAAATTGGGAAAGGTTATGATATTACCGACCTATAAAGGGATGTATTCATCTAAATTTGCAATTTCAGCTATCAATATCACTTTTCTAAATTAAAGGGATAGTTTACAAAGTTTTCATTATCAAAAATATCATTAATTATACCTGAAAATATTTCTAAAGTATGCCATTTATATCTCTGTATCTACTTGATCAAACTGAATTTGGTTTAAAAGGGTTCATTAAAAATGGATAGTACTAATTGTTAATTGAGCAGTTTGACCTAGTTTAGTAGTTTTATTTTTTGAAACCTTTAGCATATGTAGGAGACATGGCTTGTCAAACGTCTGAAATTGTTTTAGTTTAAACTTTCAGATACGTTAAGGGACACATTTCTCTAGGTTTTGGTTTATAGTTATCACACATTTCATTGAAATATTGTATATTGAAATCTAATACTAGTAGTATGTAATAACAGTGATGTATTGAAACTGTAAATACACCTGAACTCTGTACCTGTTGACTTGAATATCTTCAGTCAGTCTGTCATCTTAATCCAGTTTAAATCCTTATTGACTTTTTCTAATATTATTATTCATTCTTAATCATAGAATCATATACATATAGTAATATATCATATTTACTTTTCAATATCATTTTTATCAATATTTATCAGTTATTTTTAAATGCATTTTCATCCCCTTTAAATTCAAATTAGAAGTGAATTGTCTTCTATCTTCTTTGTATTTATAGTTGTAGATACAGAAGCATACGTCCAAAAATATTTTGTTCTTCAAAGAGGTACGCATCAATTATGTTGAAACAACCGTTAAAGGTACATGTGTGCATTTCGGGGGGGAAGTAGGCTACTAGAAATGTAGGAAAATCCTGTAATTCTTTTTCTATAGATGTCTTTTCTATATGTAGAAGTGTCTCAAGAAAAGACGACTCGTCTTTTTAACTTTCAAACGAGGATAGTTCTGGACACACAAGGATTTCAAGGCTCAAATTTTGACGGTGAGTTGTGAAAATTATTACTGATTTAGCTAAAAAATTCTGAGACGTATCTAAAGAAGTTCCTAGTTTGAGATATTTTTGAAGGAATTATGCGATTTTGTACATTTCTAGTACTTCTGAATACTATTCTATTCAGATATATATTCAAGGTCCAAATCAACCCCGTAAATGGCAAAAGTATCCCTTTAGAACACCATTTAGACCAACATCTAAAATCTTATATTTAAATATAACCAGGTAGCAATTTTGACAATTATGTATTTTCTAGGATTAGTAAAAGGAACTTATATGATGTATTTTAAACTGTAGATAATTGAAATTGGATGATAGAATGTATAAATTATCAGTATTTTATTAAGATATATATGTTATACCAGTATGTTATAAACAATCAATAATAAGTTATAGTGATTAATTACTCTTAATAGTTATGACCAAAACATCAATTATCTCTTGTTATATCATAATTCAAGGTATTTCATACTTCCTTAAGGCCTTGAGGGCAAATATCATAAAGGTATGTACATGTAGGTGGTGTTATTGTGGGACTTTGCTACGTCAAAGTCCCAGTTTGTTATCGAAATGTCAATTCTTTTTTTTTTTTTTTTTTTTTTTCAATTTTTACACACCTTCCTGAGATTAGACTACAATAGTTGCAGCAACCATTCAACATTCACGAACCTTAGATATAGGCGACGATGTGCATAAATATATTTTGGATCTTTTTTGCAAAACTGGAAGTGCCACAGTTCAATATGTGCAAGAATAGATAATCGGCTCTAGAAGTCGTATTTTTCGGTCGATTTTCTTTGGGTTTGCATTTTTGGAATCTACTGTTAAAATCTGAAAAAATAGCAGTTTCAAAATTTCAAAATTCGAAAATTTGTCGCAGACATTTTTTTTGCCAAATTTTGCATTTTTTTCATTTGTTTTGCTTTTGTCTGATTAATCTGAAAAAAATTGAGCAAAGACAGTTTAAGAAAGTAAACAAAACGGTATAGTCAAATTTTCAATTTCACTTCCGGTTTAAACAGGAAATCGATGTTCACTTCCGGTTGAATAACTTCCGGTGTAATTTGTATAGGACAAAAAATTTATGCTGATAAACAAAAAAACGAAGAAAAAAAATCCGGAACAAACGTGAAACTTTGGCCGCCATTTTGATTTTTCTGAAATGATTCGATTTTTTATTCAGACATAATGGCTCATCCGATATAAATGATTTTGGTGTCAAATGAAAGAAGATAAAAAAAAAACATGACATTAGGAAGCCGTTTTTCGATTCTCAATTTGGGACACATCATAACATTCAGAATATCATTTAACCTATGCAAAAGAAATTGAGGTGGGCGTAGCACATCCGGGTTAAATTACTCATTATTGACAATTTTGACAAGGAATTTAACTCGCAACGTATACATTTGTTCAAAATGGAACTTTGCATACAATTACTTCATCCGTTGAGCCATGTTGTCTTAGAAGTTCGATTGTTTCAGCTTTATAGTTCAAAAAAAGGAACAGGTTTTGAAAATTCTAAATTTTCAATTTTTGACCTTGACCTTTTTTGACCCTGATTTTTGTAGGATTAAAGGTCATTCACATTGGCTATCTATTTATACTTTTATATTTGCTGTCCTATCTCAACTTGTATCTCGTAACCTTGACCTTTGTTGACCCTCTCCCTTTCAATGTCAAATGTCATTGACCTTGGCTATCTTCTGATACTTTCATTTGTGAGGTCTGTCTACTTCCGTTATAACAATCTTCCAAAGAATTCTTCTCAACTTTAGACTGCTCTTGCGCGTGATGTAATTATCATAGAAGGTTGATTTTTTCAGAGTCTTTTGCAATTTGCTACATTTGCTAAGTCCCACTCTGTGCCACATGTGGCTCTAGTTTTTTTTACATTTGAATGTTAATTCAGTTCACAATTTTGTATTCCAAGGTGTATATTTGTTGGTTGAACCTTCTCTCCAAACTGGATTCAAGAGGGTAATCCTGAATATAGGATATTTATCAACATAGAGTATAAAAGTATTTCTATCTGTAAATAAACCAACTTCGTGTTAATTGGGAATAATGTGATAGAAACCTTGCATCCAAATTCTATGCAGTGGGTCCATGTTTGAATGAAAAGTACTTTCAAGTTTATATTGAGTACCATTTGATTTCTGTTCTTCCACCATCCATGTCATCATTTCCACCTGGAATGATCTAGGATGTCTAATAGACTTACATATTTCTATCTGAATATGTTCTTGTCAACTATCTCTTGTCATTTTTCTCTTATGTCTTTATGGAGGCAAATCCTCAATATGTCAAGGTCACCCTGTCATAAAAGGGGAAAAAAATAAGTTTAAAACAGTCTACAGTCTAGAATATAATAGTTAAAATAAACACCAATTGTCCCGGGGAATTGACTAGAAGAACCATCATTGACTAGATATATAAATACCAGTTTAATTATAGTACAGACTTGACAACAGGTTTATCTAAATATCTTTTATTTAATTCTATTAAATCTTTACTATTTATCTTCACCTGACCCCTGGTCTCAAATTACCCCAGTATTAGATATATGACCATCATCTTTTTATTTATTATACTTATTTATTTTTCTTTACATTTCTTTTATTCACCCAATCATATTTTCTGTGA